CCTAAGCAGAGCAGTGCATATCCTACGATCAGCTAGCTCGCCAGCATAGTACGTTCGTAGGGGTCGAGAACTCCTCCTCCATGTGTTTGTAATCCAAATCATTGCCGCCCCCGCACGACTCTAGCAACCTATCTCTCATCGGCAGGACCACCATAACCGGCTGGTTGATATTTCCATATTTCCTTGAGGCCACCTTGAAGGCATAACAGTTGGTTTGCCTCCTCACTCAGATCGGGGTCTAGTTTCGCTAGCCTCAGCGCCTCGTCGACTTCTCGCACCGCGTACCCGGCGAAATGCTCAGCAAAGGAGCTTCTCTCTCATCTACTATGCAGAAAGCACGCTGGAAAAAACCGAAGACAGCATGAAGATACATGCGTCCGATGGAGGTAGATAGTCGCGCCAGGTTCCGGGGGCGAGGGTATGGTCCATGGGGTAACAGAGGCGCGGTAAAGGGAGCCCAACGAGGTTTCTTTGGGTGAGCAAAGCCGACATTTTGTGGCTTTCGGTCCATCACCGATGCTTTGAACGATCATCTTCTCAAAATTTAGAAGTGGCGACGATATTTTTTTTATCTATCCCTTTTTGGGGGCAGTTGGCTTGTGACCACGAAAGGCGTTCGCTTCAGTTGAACCAGGAGTATATACAGACACTAGAAGGTACTGAGCGGAGGCCGGAACGGTTTTTAATGTGAAGACAACAACAACAACGACAACGACAACAACAACAACAACAAGTAAGACATGAGCGAGAAATGCTTCTACCCGAGATAGTGTGGGACAAAAGAGTATGGGAGGATGGCAGACATCCACGACTCGTGTAAGGCGACGTCACTGGCAAATCCCACACTAAGAGGAAGAACTATTAGAGCTCTAGAATACTGATGTACATACGCATGCGGGGCACGCGCTGTTGCGAACGACGTTGTATGGTAGCGTGAGGGTGCCACAGGCAGGCAAAGAGCCCATGCGGAGGGAGTGCCACACCTCCCGCAGACATAGGTTACGTAAGACATCAGACCCCCTGGATCGATTTTCAGAAGCTCTATTTCTCCTCAAGGAACACGACACATGATCAAACAATCTGTGTGAGAGAGATCTCGACAAGGCGGTTCCAACGCCACCGCCGCTTGTTCTGCTGTGGAGCAATCGAGCTGAACAAAACCGGACAAGGGGGTGGTATCTACCGTGTGTCACCTTCTGGAAATGGAGTTATGATGTACCAGGTCAAGACCAGGTGCACTCCTGAAACAGCACATGAAGAACCAATTATTTTGCCCGAGGCTCGCTTCTTATTATTAGACTTTTTGCCATTTTTTTTTTTTTCTTATGACACAACACATCCATCTCTACAAGATGTGCAACAAATTCAGTTATTTTTCTCTAAAACGTACACTGCTGACTCACACTCATATGTACTCGGTAGTGTATAGGCCTCTCGACAGACCACCCGTTCTCATGGTCACGTTCCTAAACTTATCTGGATTTGAGCCAAAATTTCGTAACTCCCAAGTTCATAAGTGCGGGGGCTAACTATACGCATAGGATACGGCTGTGTTTGGAGCTGTGCAGCAATCGAACGTTGAAAATCGGGGGGGGGGTGGTATCTTATGTCACCTATACACGGTATGCATACTGTTGAGACAGCATAAATAGGCATACCTTGACAACGGCAGTTTTTTTCTGGGGCCTGAGCTTGCTGATCATGGCCCGGAACTTCATCGCGCGCGCAGACAGCGCCGGGTCCTCCTCCTCTTCCTCCCCTGCCCCCTCGCCAGCAGCCGCCCGGGGCGCAGCAACCGCAACGGCAGAGGCTTTTTCTCCCTTCCCTGACTTGCCCGTGCGATCGGCTCTCTCGCCCGCCCTGGAGATGAGCTTCTCCAAGTCCTCACTGAACCGCCCGCTGCTGCTGCTGCTGTCGTCTCCCGTTGTGCCAGAGGACATGTGCCTTCGAGAGACTACTAGCCCAGCAGACCCAGCAGGAGCCGGCAACGCTGGGTTCTTGCCGCCGCCACGGGCGACATGACGGCAAGCGGTAGGTCTTGCTGCTGCGCCGCCTGCCTGTGCGGAAGAGCTGTGGAGAGCCGCCTTGCTGCCACCGGCGCGAGAGGAAGCTGCTGCCGTCATCACGCGCTGGATGAGCGGGTGCTTCATGGCAGTTGTCGCTGTTGCACGGCTTGCCATGCTGCTGCAGCTCCTTGCCGTGGTAACCGTCAAAGGCCGCGGTGTAGCAGCAGACCTTGCTTGCGGTGGTGGTTGTCTTTGGTCTAGGTTGTCGAGAGAAGGATTGGCCGAGCAAGTCGCCACGCCACCTCACGCCGTAAAGAACAAGATAGTGACACAGAGGAAGGAGAACCAACCACGCGTCTCCTGGTGCTCCCTGCACTAGGCTTCCCGGTGCTCAAAGTGCTATGCTCTGTGCACAGCAAACGCGCCTGTGGGGTCCCCGCAGTTGGAAGACGTATCCAAGTACGTATACCCCAACCAGATGACGTTATAATAGATGCCACACCCCAATGGATCGGTAAAACAACAGATACACGGATGTATCCAAGCCCGCCATTGCCGCCACAGCAGTAGAAAGAGCGGACAGCGGTGTCGAAGTTGGAACCATCTCACCAAGGTCGTTCCAAGGACACATCACTATGTTGCTGATTCTTCTTCACCATGTACTCGAGCAGCAATCAATCGAGCTGGAAGATATATATATGCAAGGTGACCACCTGCAGCAGACGAAGGGGCAGATCATTCCGGGGGCAAGCGCACAGGCTCACTGATCGCCGCGGGATTAGCAGACCCAAAACCATCTCGCACTACAGCTCTGATCTACAGGCGGTTGGCAGCACTGTTGTAGTTTTTCCCCACCCACCGTCCCTTTTGTTTTCCGAAGGATGGTCTGAAACGGTAGCCTTGAAACATGAAACCGCCGACAACAAGGCGTTTCTCTCTCGGCTTCAACTGGTTCAACAACGTTTCACACGCGAGTACAATGAGTCGAGAGCCCCCCACAATCAACTCTCGTACTGTAACGACTGTTTCCCCTGTGGGGTGGATTCGGCGCTAGATCCAAGACCGTAGGCACACACATACATGCACTGCGGTAGCCTGGAGGAGAGAAAAATATAAAAATATATCGTCCGTGTTGCGCGACATAATAATACACTGCTATGTACCACAGCAGTAGGTGGATGCGACGTACATGAGACGCCGCGGGTTGCGCCAGCATAAAGGCGTTTCCACTCTCGTAATACTGCCCTCCAAGTATTCGAGAGAACGCCGTCTTGGTGGTACTTGCTTCCTTCAAGATGTACCTATGACCTGAAATTTTCAGGGTTGGTTGTCGTCGGGACCGTTTTTTGGCGGACACCCAGGCAGGAGGGGTGTGTGTGCAATTTGGCGGTACTTCTTTGGCGGTACTTCTTTGGCGGTACTTCTTTGGCGGTACATAAAACCCGTTTTTCGTTTTTCCGCGTACCGCCTGCACCGGTCGCGGTAACACCAAAACATGGTGTCTACCGCCAGTACCGGGACCGCCGACTAAGGTGGGAAAAAACTGCCGGGATAATCCCTGACCACAACGAACCCTAGAAATATTACCTTGCTTGACTCTCCCACGGAGGAAACAACAGCAGTTTGGGCCCGCGCGGAATTGCGAAAAAATCCAAAAAAATGGCTTTTTATTAGACTAACTTTTTACCAAAGATAAGAAAAAGAGACTAAGAAACATAGCTCAATCTCGGCCACAACACAACAAACGTTCCAATAAGAAACATGATCGTGCGATACCCCCAATACATGGGAAACAAGGGTTTCTGGCGGAGCGTATCCAATAAGAAACGTTCCACTGCTGCTCCTTCCGTGCTCCCACTCCCCCCGTACCTATTTAGCTGGACAACGTTTTTTTCGTAGGGAGAGTGACTGTTGGCGCTGCCCCCCCCACCTCCGCGCTATTTAGCTACTCGGCGCCTCCGCGGGCTGCTTTACTCACTGCTGCGAATGTTTGGTGTTATTGTATGCATATTCTTATAGCCAGAAATTAAAGAAATGAGAAATGACAGCATCAGGAGGACGCGATAGTCCAAAGGAATACTTGTACGAAATGCCTTTTAAGAAAATGGACGACTTCGGCTGGTCCTTCGACGCAAAATAAGGGATGGAGCCTCGACCCGATTTTGAAGTCTCTTTGAAGTCTCTTATTCCGGGCCTGAAGTAGTCCCGATGACGCTTGATCGGGCAACTGTTGTTGGATATTTGCCGACCCAATATGTAGCTCATCCCGGCACTCGAACCAGGACAAGTTTTAGCTCGAATAGACCTCATCGTCGTCGTACATTGTACGCAGAAGCAGAAGGAATTAGCTCCACGGCAGACAGGCCCTTCGCGGCTTCCAACACGTTCCATGTGGTGGTTGTTACATACCCGTATTTGGAAGCAAACATTGTCTCTCTCACTTTCAATACTTGTTCTTGGTGTTTCGACCAAGGAGGCAATCAAGAGTGGAAATAAAAATGCCAGGTGAAACGCTTTCTTCATGGAACTTTACACAGAGGTCACGAAGGCGTTCGTTGATGGAATCGATTGTTCACTATGTAGCAGCAGGCATCTAGCCCTTCTGCAGACCCCTGACGCTTCAAGTGACTGTCCGCAAGCATCGGCTAGACGCTCTCTCCAACGTCAGAAGCGTCTCCCACAAAAACATTGTGGTGCGCAGGGTCGGATTCACAGCAGAAGCATCGTGCCGCGCCACTCTTTTCGAAACGTGTCTTACAATCTGCCCTGAGCACATGTCCACAGAGTGTGCGCAACCACTGTAAGTACTGTACTCGTGAGACACAGCATTAACCATCGACATATTGATACACGCGTATTCGTGCATGAATAAACCAAAACTCCCTCAAGACAACGACGACATGAGACAACTGACTTGAACATTCCATCGGTACATCCCGATCTCACCGGCCTTCACAAGGCGACCGGCTCTCCTTGTTCATCTACACAGTAGTAAATACTTGCAAATATAACGCAACGTGCGAGCTTCCGTTAGCATGCTACAGTGGTTCCGCTGCCAATGAACCAATCGCACACACATTGCCGCCGACCAACCGTCGGAACAACATCCCCCCATGTTACCCTCCGAATGCTACGTCCTCTTGTGGTCAACGGTCTGACCGCCAAGGCATGCAAAACAATAGTAAGCCCCCACCCTCCAAAAGTATCACCAAATCTCGTCATGCTCGCAGCGGTTTGATCGACAAAAACAAGGCCAGGGGGAGGCAATCCGCAAGCGGCTAGACGCCACCCCAAGGTAGTGCATTTCGGCACGACCAACATCATCGCAACAGCCGTCCAACGGATACATCCAATCCGGCCCAACGGACCGCTACACACGTCTAAAGGCCGGCGAATGGATCCTGAATGTCTTCACTCGCGGGCCTATTCACACCTTGGCTGTTGTTCGGCCCAACAAAGTTGGCTCCAGTCAACTGCTGCTGCTGTTGGGGGTACTGCTGCTGCTGGTACTGCTGCTGCTGCTGCTGCTGCTGCTGGTTCCATTGAGTGGAAGAAGCGGGGCCAAACGCCTGCCCCCCCTGAGGAGGGGGGGCGTGACACGACTGGGGGTCGCCAGGTGCGTAGGCGTTTTGTAACGGTTGGTATTGCTGCTGCTGCTGCAGTTGCTGCTGCTGCTGCTGCTGCTGCTGCTGCTGCTGCGGTAGCCAAAATTGCTGCTGCTGCAGTTGCTGTTGCTGCTGCTGCATATAATGTTGCTGCTGTAGTTGCGGTGGCGGTTGTGCAAAAAGTTCCTGAGGCGGAGGTGGTTGCTGTTGTGGCTGAGGATATTGTTGTTGCTGCTGCTGCTGCTGCTGCCACATCTGCTGTCCCGCTTGCGCCCTTTGCTGCATGGCCTCGCTCTGCTGCCGCGCCACCTGCTGGTGACCCAAGTGCTGCTGCGAATGTCTCTGCATGCCTTGCTGCTGCCAGCTCAACGCTTGCTGCTGCTGCGGCGGCGGTGCCGACGGCTGCTGCTGCGGCGGCGGTGCCGACGGCTGCTGCTGCTGCGGCGGCTGCGGCTCTGGTGCGGGCACCGCCGATGCCTGCTGGCGAGCTACCGGCTGCAGCATGTGCTGCCCGTATGCGCGTCCAGGGCGCATCTCCTGCACACCCCCCTTGGTTGCATGGCTTTGCGCTTGGCCCGTCACCTGCCAAAAGAAACCGGGAGGCGAGGGATGGGTCACTCCGCAGTAGAGAGAGTGGTGGTGGTGGTGCCGGAATTGGCGGCGTTGAACCGGCTCGTTTAGATCTGTCCGAAAGCATGCGAATTAATTTTGGCATCCTCCTCTTCGTCGTGGACTAAATACTCGAGCTTTGGGAATCGGTCCACGGGGTGTGGTAGCTTGTGTCACCTATGGTACCAACCATGATCCTCACTGGTCCTGAGTGGTTGGGTGCATATCGCAGAAGACTACCACACCTAGGCCTACACTCCCAAACATGATCCTCTTTCCACAACAACCTCGCTGCAAAGACTTTGACACATGCCCTTCGACTGTGGAATGATCTAGAACAGGTAGTCTAGCTGTGATTTGATAGTGTTGTCTTCGCAATATTAAAAACCGTTCTGATCTCTCTATCTAGTACCTCCTTCTGCCCGTGTACTGATTTAGCACTTGACGCAGTCGATTCCCGTGGCCATAGATTAACTTCCCTTAAACAAGGTATACTAAAAAAAAAGGCACATATATTCTGAAAAATCAATCCCAAACACGGAGTCCCTCACCGGTCCTGAGGGTGTAGGTGACGCTCGCTCGAACCTCCCCACGAGTCCCGCCACCCCCCCGGTCGACGTTGGAACTCCACCCCCACCCCCCACCCCCCGCGAAATCCCGCCCCCACCGCCTGCGGTGCCGCCCCCCCCGACGCTGGTACGTCCCGCGAAGATCTGGCTGGGTTTCACGGATGATGCCGAGGCCGGTGCGGGGGGAGCGAAAAGCTGACTCGGTCGTAACGACGACGACGATGAAGTTGTTGATGCCGGTGGCGGCGGCGGCGGCTGCTGCTGCTGCTGCTGCGACGTCTGCGGTGCCGAGACCGTTGAGTACGCCGCCGACGCCGGTGCCGGTGCCGGTGCCGGTGCCGGTGCCGAGACTGTTGAGTACGCCGCCGCCGCCGGTGCCGGTCCCGGTGCCGGTGCCGAGACTGTTGAGTACGCCGTCGACGCCGGAGGCGGCGGAAGCGGCGGGGTGGGTGGGTTGGCGGCTGTTTCAAGGCCGAGAGATGATGGCGCCGCCGAGGGAGCCGGGAGTGGGGGCTGCGGTGGGGGCGGTTGTGCAGCGAACTGTTTGTTGTTGTTGAAGTCAGGGGCTTGAGAGGAGAACGGGTCTTCCTCCTGTCGTGATTCGAAGTGGGGCAGCAACAAGCGCGGAACGACGTTACATTTTCCTCTGATATCAAATCAATAGGAGAGATGGGAGCTGCTGGAAGTGGTGCAGCGAGCTGGTTGCTGTTGCTGCTGGTGCTGCAGTCAGAGGGTTGACAGGAGAACACGTCTTCTTTCCGTGGTGATTGGAACGGGGGAAGCCACAAGCGTGGTATGACGTTGATTTTGCCTCTGATATCTTTAGGAGAGATGGAAAGTGGTGGAAATTGTGCAGTGAACCCGTTACTGTAACGGCAGTCAGGGGGTTGAGAGGAGAACACGTGTTTCAGTCGAGTGATTGGAACGGGGTAAGCAACAAGCGTGGAAGGACTTTAAAATTGCCTCTGATATCTGTAGGAGAGATGGCAAATGCTGGAATTGTGAACTGGCTGCGTCTAGGGTTGGAAAGGTGAGTATATTTCCTCCTTCAATTTTGCTCTCACCGGTAACCCACCAGAATAAGAAAAAACGTGAAAACCGTCAATAACCGCGGTACATCAGGAACCGCCCTACGGGGAAATGTCCCTGAATAGCAATTTACCGCGACTACCTCGGGAACCGTGTTCATCGGGACCGCGATATATCGGAACCACCACCACTTTGTAATGGATGGTATCCGTTGAAAAAAAAAAAGCCACCGCGAGCGACGAAGGAAGGTATGTATGTTTTCTTTCGGCACCAGAATGGTACCTTTCAAACGTTGCGCGTCAAACAAGGCGTGATGAGATAAGCATAAGGAAGAGATGGGCTTCGTCCACCACCTTCAAATAACGAAAAAAAAAAAGTCAAGCACGCCGGCGAACGACCTGGGTACGAATGTAAGCGACGGAGTGCATGCCTTGGTCAACTGTGAATATATACCGTTATTGTCCACCTATGACTTCCTGGTTTGTAAGAAAAACCTCTTCCGGGGGAGTCCAGCATGTTTCTCCCCCACCGACTGCAAAGACGCCCAACACATTCGCACTTGAACAGAAAAATCCGCCCATCTACAAAAAATGCGTTACCCTAGAAGAAGAAAAAAAAAAGCGTCTTCACCTGGCCAGGGACCTCCCATGGTGATGGTGGCGGTGGTGCCAGCGACTTCGGGGAGGAAGTGTAACCGACCACCGCGGTGGACAAGCCCGAAGACGCCTCTTGCACTGGAAAGCCGTTGTCGTCCAAGGATTGCCGGCCTGAATTGGATGGGCGTTGGAGTAGAGAGCAGGAGGAGTCGCAGCAGCGGCAGCAGCAGCAGCAGCAACAAAAGCGAGGGTTGCGCGCCATTTTAGGATGGGTGTCGGGGGTAGAAGGCAGGATGAGTCACAGCAGCGGCAGCAGCGGCAACAATAATGGGCGGCGACGTACACATGAAAATTCCACATTATCTCACTCACCTTGGAATGGGTTAGGGCTATTTAGCGCTGCGGCCGCTTCCCGAGGCCGCAATGTATCCATGCGACGATACCATATTCCACAGCATCTCACTCACCTTGGAACGGGTTAAGGCTAGCGCCGCGTCCTTTTCCCGGGGCCGCATTGTATCCATGGAACCATACCGTATTCCACATTGTCTGGCTCATCACTCACCTTGGAACGGGTTAGGGCTAGCGCCGCGTCCGTTTCCCGGGGCCGCATTGTATCCATGGAACCATACCGTATTCCACATTGTCTCGCTCATCACCCACCTTGGAACGGGTTAGGGCTAGCGCTGCCTCCGCTTCCCGGTCCCACGAACTCGTCCGAGAGCAAGTCTTGCACCAGAGGACCTTGGGGGCTGCTGGTGCTGCTGCGGTTGTTGCGGACATACCCACTGCCATCACGGGATGATCCCACGGAGTCCCCGCGGACCGGGAGCGGCGGCGGCGGCGGCGAGGTCCCCCCGGCGTTGCTCTGCCGATGGTCCGGGGTTGGGCAAAGGCGTAGGGCTATACAGTTGGCGCCTACAGTCATTGGCAGTGAAGAAATTCAGTGAGCCTCGAAACCCCTGGTACGATGGAGAAGCCGCATAACGACACCCTCCTCCAAGAACAGGGATGGTGGGACGGAGAGTCACAGTCGCCCTCCCGTCATAAGGACGTCAAAAATAAAGGACACTCCGGGTTGGCAGCACGCCGTCTTTAGCCGGGAGCACGCGATGCCCGGATGTATTGTGTTGTCGTTGCTTTCACATTGATTGACGACAACCGCAGCGGTCATAACCACAGCCACAATACCGTATACGACGTGACACAAGATAACACACCCCCTGGACCGATTTTCAAAGCCCGATTACTCCACGACGAAGAAGATACACAAACGAAACGACACGTTTTCGGAGAGCTCTCGACTAGACCGCTTCAACCGCACCGTTTTCGGCGCTGCCACTCTTTCTGCTGTTGATAAATCGAGCTTTGAACATCGGTCCAGGGGGTGTGTTATCTTGTGTATACGGTCGTACAACAGCGGTTATTCTTGCGGAATACCGGCATAGAAGTACTCGACCGGGCGGCTTCGACGCCGCCATTCTCGGCGCTGCGACTCTTGCTGCTGTTGATAAATCGGTCTTTGAAAATCGGTCCAGGGGGTGTTATCTTGTGTGGCACGCATACCTCGCCATCGCTGCTCTCTTCGTCGTATCCGCTTCCGCCACCCGCAGGCAGCGAGTACGTAGCAGCCAGGTCCTGCCACGCGGCACGGCTGGAGGAATCTCCGAGATCTCCGAAGGCCGGTAGCCCTTGCAGCCCGCCATCGCCCTGCGAACCGTACTCTGCAGACGAAAGAAATAGACATACATACAGTACGGGAACAAATGACGGGGGTGAAGAACAAACAGCTCTGTGAAATTTCACCTCAGATTGTCGTAGATTGTGACGTCTGATGACCGGTCGGAGATCTGCCGTCGGGGTGTTGCCACGTAGCCCGCAAATTATTACCACCAGAAAAAAAGGGAAATTCGGGAGATTTGGTATTTATTTGGCACCACTCCTCTTTGTGCACGAACACGCGGGGGAATATCATACAACCAAAATGCTCGCTTCTGTTTGCCTGTTCACTACAAAACATACGAAACCGCAACAACGCGGAACACCATATTTTCTTGTACCAGGAGAAAGAAATCGTGATGTCTGCTTGACCTCCCCGGGGTACAATGGACAGTACGTAGAAAGACATCGACCTGCTGCCAACTTTGCAGCCGCTGCTGTCGCTAGCCAATCACATCAGGACAGCGACCACCCAATGACCCCACTCAAACATCGACGACAAGGTAAACCTTTCTCCTCGAGAAGACCCAAAAATATTCCAAGTACAACAAAGACCGCAGAAATATTTCCTGCCGAGACAATGGTGCCATCGCGTGGCTGTTGAGATTTTTGCTGCTTCCGCAATACTGCTGTATCATGACGATGTCAGTTTGAGTGACAAAACAAGAACAGCAACAAACAATAACAACACAAGCAGCGTGCCTTGTCGTTGAAAAATTACTCCAAACAAGAAAAACAACATCGCGACGAAACATAACCCAACGGCGAAAACCAATCCAAGTCTCCTGAAATAAAAGTGAAGGGTTGCTGAACCCTTGCCATGAGAACGCACTTTACGGGGGGGGGGGTAATACACCCGGCCAAAGGTTAGACGCAGCGGGAGCGCACTCACCTCCAGGGGTCCAGAGAACACATCAATACAAGAAAGGGCTCAATTTAGCAAAAAAGAAAGAAGACTCACCGCTGCTCCACACGACTTGTTCTCGAGGAAAAGTCCATCAGGACAACAAAGAGTTCAAAACGGAAAAAAACAAAAAATAGAAGACTTACCGCAGCGAAGACTTGCTTCTCGACGAGAACAGCAGGCTGAAAAAGCACACCAAGACATGAAGGGGCACGGCGATGAAATAACAAGACTCACCACTGCTTCCCCCCACTGAAGACTTGCTTCTAGAGGAGAAAAAGAGAAAAACACCAAGACAAGTAAGGGTTCGAAACACCCAAAAAAAAAGCACGAAGAACTCACCGATGCTCCCCCCCACTGAAGACTTGCTTCTCGAGGAGAAAAACAAAAAAAACACCAAGACAAGAAAGGGCACAGCAGAAAAATAAAAAAGAAGAGGAAGAACTTACCGCTGCTTCCCCCCACTGAAGACTTGCTTCTCGACGAGAACAGCGCCCCTGTAACGGCTGCCGCCACCTCGTCGTCGTTGGTTACATTGCCTCCGCTATCGAAGCCTCCCGTGTGGTTAGAGGAGTCGCCGAAAGATGCCTGTCCCACCAGGTTGTGGAAGGTGCTGAAGTCCGGCATGCACCTTAATAATCCAGGGATGTCCACGGTGCGGTGCGGTGCGGTGCGGTACGGTGCGGTGCGGTACGGTCGTTATAGTAATACAATGACGGTTCGTTGTGGTGCGTGTGGTTAGAGGACTCGCCGAAAGATGTCTGTCCCGCCAGGTTGTTCCGCCTAGAATGGATGTCCATAGAAATCTTCGACATTCTGCGCGCGTAAACATTTCGACTGGTCAAGCGCTTGGTTGTTTTTTTTTTGTTGCGGAGGGGCAAAGGCGCGGGGTATAGTCGGTTGCCCATGGTCTTACCGGCTACGGAGCTTGATCTTCTCCGGGAGCCCCCCCGCCCTGTCCGCCTCCCGCTGCTCGAGGTTCGCTACCGCTTCGCGGCGCAAGGCCAGCCTCTTCATGTCCATCACGAGCGTCACCACCTGCGACCGTTGGGTGGACCAAAAAATAGAAAAACAGGTACACCAGAGAGTAACGTCAACATTGCACTGAAAAACGTTTATACCAATGGACGACGCAGTACCAAATAGCTAGATCGTGTATGACACACACACACAAAAGTGTTGTGTTCTCAACCGCACTAAGACTGACTGACGTCTTTTTCATGGCCTGGATCTCAGGCGAGCCATTCTACCACCAATAATTTGCCAAGCAAATACTGGTCTGGTCTCAGGATGATGGCGCATTTTCTAGCGCAGTCGGTGTACACAAAAAGAGAGAAAGCGAAAACGCAGTACCGAACAGCTGGAACGTGTACGACACACAAAAAAAAACTCGCCTTCCGAGCCATGGCCCCGATCCGAGGGCAATTCAGCATCCAACAACTAGAGTTTGATGAAAGACACAAGAAACCAACACGCCTCCCGGGCCACGGCACGGATCCTAGGGCATACTCAGTGCCCAACAGCTAGGAGGTGATGCTTCACACAAAAAAAACTCGCCTCCCGAGCCATGGCCCGGATCCTCGGGGACGCTTTCCCAGCATCCCCCCCCCCGCCCCCCACCACTCCCGTATCCTCCCATCCCTTGGGGTACTGCGCGCACCGCCGGATGAGGGGCACGTGGTTGAGAGCGTCGGCGACACACCCCGCTGGTCCGGACAGGAGGAGGGCCTTCAGCAGCCTCAGGCCTTCCATGGCGTGCGGCCACCTATGAACGAGATTGGCATGGTGGGAAAATTGTAGTTATGTTGAGGGCTTTCAGCAGCCTCAGGTCTTCCATGGCGTGCGGCCACCTATGAACGGGATTGTCATTGTGGGAAATAATAATTAGGCCGAGGGCTTCGAGCAGTCTTGGGCATCCGATGCCGTGCGGGCACCCAAATACGGGACTGGAATTGCGGGGGGAATGTGCCTCACCTCCATCGTAAGGCTGAAAGAAAAAAGGCGTACGAATTATCGTATCGCATCGTGTGCGCGTCACCACCCTCTGAAGGCTGGAAGGGAAAATGTAGTGTACGGTAAAATATCGGTTCCTAACAAGTACTTGTATTATGTCGTATCAAAACAAGTAGGTACACTAACAAGAAGCGTAGAATGATATCATATACTATTAGGTAGTGTATGGAATGATATCGTATCCTATTAAGTAGTGTATGGAATGATATCACATCCTATTAAGAAGTGTATGGTATGATATCGTACTAAATATAAGTAGTGTATGGTATGATATCGTGTCGTGTGCGAGACACAATCCTCACTTGTTGCCGCGGCAGTCGAGCAGCCTCACCCACACCACACGCATGATTCCGCTCAGCTTGGCGGACTCTCTCGCAGTCCTGCGGGAACGGAGGTCAACAACCCACAGCACACCGCAGCACACCACAGAACGGCAGCAAGAGGGTGTATCTGGTCACCACACAACGAAAAATCGAAATTGACCTCGATCTGCCTAACACAACGGCGAAACCGCCCGCAGGACATCACGGCAGCAAATGGTGCAGCGGGCCACCGCAAGGCAGAATCCAAAGTGACCTCGATCCGCAAAACGCAACGGTCAACAACCCACAGCATCACGCAAAGCACCGATATGCATCGGCGGGGTGAGCGAATATGGCCCTTCGTCAACGTGTCTAGCGGAGCCCACGTATGGTCCACAAATGTGACGCTCGATGGCGACGGACTGTTTCGCGTAGCGGGGGCTTGGACAGTGAACGAATCGGTTGATGATCCATCTCGACGCCAAAAAATATACAAAGGTCAACAACCCAAAGCACTGCACAGCAGCAAAGAGGCGCAACACAGCACAATCAGTCGTCGTACAGTCCCGTCAACACAACGCATAATTAACATTGATCTCGACCCCCAAAATACAGTACCACCCCCCCTCCGTCCTGAAGAGCCTGGTCCGGTGACAATCCGGCGTGCTCCGTCCCGTAGGAATGCGAGGTCAATTATCTAACCACTATGGCATGGATGACTACGAGTACATCCCCCCCCACTCCCTCCTGACATAGATAGGATAGGAAACATTTGGGCCTTGGCTCCGTCCTCTCGATGACGCGTGGCCATCGGTCTAAAAGCTGAGGCCTGCAACACTTGAGGTACGCCCACGTCCCCCTCTAAAGCTGTGATCATTCATTATCCTTCGCTCTCACCTCCGCCACCTCGCGAGAGCGGATAAAAAAAAAAAGTCCCTGAAAAAGTGTGCCAATCGACCCTTTTTGTGTTAATCCCCAAGCCATCGCGCCCAAAAAATCTCGTTTGCTACAGGAAGTACCACCCGTCAAAGCTCCACGCCAACCTCGCATTTATTCTTCTCACCTGCAAAGCTCGGCCCTGAGTTTGGCCATGTCCTTGGCGGAAGCGTTGCCGTTGGCCGTCGCGGCGAGGGCCCTCGGGTTCAAAGTTGGGTCACCGTAGGAATTGGAACCTGTAGCCAAATGTTACCCAAGACAGAAATCAAATAAAGTTAAATTCGGCTACACAAACTGCAAGAGAAATGATTATGATTTCCTTTCCGGGCAAGTGCACGCAATATCTTCGTTTCCACAGGTGGTACCTTCGGAGTGGGGTCGAGAGAGAAGAACCGTGTTACCAAGCAACCACGACCAACATAAAGAGATAAAACATGGCCAGGACCAACAAGACATCAGCAGTCACTTGAATTTTCTGATTTCACAGAAAAAATGCAGAGAATCGGATGAAACAGACAAAAAATACTACAGCAGGCGTTGGTGCGCAATATTCAGGGCGCAACGGACACAATCGAGCTCGACACACACACACAATTATGATCACGACCAGACTTGTGGACCCTTCGGGACCCTTTCTATCTGAGGACGCCTTTCTTGGGGGTAAGTTAGCCTGTGACCACGGGAATCGACCGCGTCAAGTGTTAGACTAGCACGGGACAGATGAAGGTACTAGATAGAGAAATCGGAACGGTTTCAATGTGAAGACAACAACGACAACAGCATAGGCAACGAAGAACGACAACACACCAGCTGCCACTTCCAACATTTGCCAAAATGCTACTACAGCGGTAGCGTTGCAATGCTTTATTCCACACAAGAGCATGTTTGAGCCTGAAAAACCGGGCGGGGGGTTGGGTGGGTGCTATCGTACGCAATCGGAAACCTCACCGGACCCGGCTGGCAACGCCTCCGCCAACACCTTGCTCAGGGCCCTCTTGACCGAGGCGGGCGCGAAGCCCCCCCCCCCGTTCCCGCTCGCGTCGCCCCACCCGCCCCTGAGGGTGAGCTGGTCGCTAACGCGCAGGAAGGTCGCGGGGGAGGGGTGGTGGCGGTGGTCTGGTGCTCCCTCCCTGGGGCTGGGGGTGCTTGGGTCCTGCTTGTTGCGCAGTCGGTCCTGCGGCGTGGGTGCGGGAAAGGGCGGAATGGAGAGCAGCAGCATCGGCAGGCAGAAGCAGGAGGAACAGCAGCAGCAGCAGCAGCAGCAGTAGGAGTGGTCAGCGGCAGCCACACAGGAGGAACAGCGGCCGTGGTGGTCAGCAGCAGCAGCAGCAGCAGCAGCAACGCCCTTCTGGTTGCCGATCACAAGCACCGCTTCGCACGAATCTTCGCATCTCTCGTCGCTAGCGGGCATCGTTCATCGCCCAGACGCTTCGCTCAAGGAAAGATACCGAGCAGTCCACATCCCGACGACACAGTGAACCTCCAAAAACAAGCAACGCCGCCATCACGACCATCCACGTGCAATCTCAATACGCCCTGCCCACAGCAAAAAAAAAAAAAGAAACTTGAAAGAAAAAGGTAATGGGAGTGAAATGAAAAAATAATTAAGAACGCTCGCCACACAATACTCTACTTTCCATGTGTGAGAGAAGGAGTTTGGATATTCATGATACGTAAGAGTTGGGATATTTTCCCACGGACAGATTCGATGTACTGACCTTGACATGCATCATGTGCATGTGGAACATCTGGCTCTGCGTGAACTCCTTCAGGAAGCGCAGTACTCCCTCCGAGTCCCCCCTTTGTTCACGATACCTTCATCGTCACAAAGCACGAGGCAGAACAAAATAAAGGAGTCTCGTCATGAACATTTACCAATGAAATAGTTGTGAACACTCGACGTACTAAATCACGTCGTCCAGCCGCGACTTCATAAGGCGAGGGGATTGTTCACGACTAGATTCCTTCATATGGTAACTATTCGGTGCAGGACACATCCACAAAGTAACCTATCGCGGCTGGACACTTCATCAAGTAACTAATCGATTAGTTACTTGATCATCCACAAAGTAACTAATCGCGGGTGGACACTTCATCAAGTAACTAATCGATTAGTTACTTGATCGCGGCTGGACACTTCCATCACTAATCGATTATTTACTTGATATCAAGAAACTAATCGATTAGTTACTTGATGAAGTGTCCACCAGCGATTAGTTACTTTGTGGATGTGTCCTGCGCCGAATAGATACAACATGAAGGAGAGTAGTTGTGAACAGTCACTTTACCTTCATGAAGTAGTCTAGCCGCGATCAGCTACCTTATGAAGGAGTCAAGTCGCGAACAGTACCTAATAAACAACAGTCTTAAACACCAAGCACTTACTATACGATCTACGTTTCTCCGTACAGTGTCAAGTGCAATGCCAGGGACCAACGAAAGTTGGGAGTCGAAAAGAGTCACCTTACCTTATGAAGTAATCGTGATCGACCTTGACGGATACATCGGGCTGCCTCCTAAGGATAGTCCGGTGGTCGCCGAACAGCCCGATGTTGAAACCCACGAGAGCTTCTCTCAGAGAGTGGTCCTCAGGGGTCACCATCCCACTGCTGCATACAAAAACAAACACGGGGGTAGTGACGCATGAATGCGAGGACAGGGGTCAACATTTCACCACTGCACAGAAAAATTAATCCTGAAGGCGGGGACAACACTGCATGAAATGCGAGGATACATAAGTGTCACCATCCCAACCGCTACAAAAACGATCTAATACATGAGGGGGCCGAGTGTTCTGAAACGTGGAGGATGCATCGGGGTCACCATCCAATTCCTGTAAACACAGCCAAACACGGGGGTAGTGATGCATGAATGCGAGGACAGGGGCCAACATTTCACCACCACAAGACGAAATGACTCATGACAGCGCAGGTAGCATTGCATGAACACGAGGATACATACGGGTCACAATCCCCAAGACGGCAGACAAAATGAATGATGAGTGCGTGCAAAAATGCGAGGACAGGGGTCAACATTTCACCACTACAGACAAAACAATCACGAGGGCGTGGGCAGCACTGCATGAATGCGAGGACAGGGGTCAACATTTCACCACAACAGACAAGATGAATTCATGAGGGCGGGGCTACCACTGCATGAAATGCGAGGATACATAGAGGTCAATCTCACCGCTGCAATACAAAACAAAATTTGAGGGGGCGGAGTGTTACAAAACGTGGGGGGATACATAGGCAGCACGGTCCCACCACTACCGACAACAGATAACATGAAGGGGGGCGGGGTGGAGTGTTATGAATCGTGAAGGATGTACGGGTCATAATGCGAATATCGAAGAAAAAACAAAAAAATGAGGGTCTATTCTAGCACACTACAACAAATGCGAGGATGGAATAGGGTCACCATCTCACTAATACGGGTTTTGCCACGAGCATGGAATGCGATAATAGGGTACAGCCTCACTTCAATCGAAAGCAACACGAGATTGTAGAAAGTCCGCCCCCAAACCTGGCCAATCCTTATCACCGCCCCTCCTTCTGATCTGGGAATCGTTGTTCAAGAGAGGGCTAGGATTCACCAAAGAGAAACAAACGAATCACAAAAAAAGAGCGAAAACAACGGAGAAGAGCAAAACAATAGCTCACCCGCTTCCTCCGGCTGGTCGTTGCTTTTTGGCTTTGGAGAATATCGCCTTGACCTCGGCGAAAAGGGTGCTTGCCGTGTCGTTGATGCCGTCCTTCGTCATGCCTTTTGAACCGACGCGCTCGTCTCGAGGCCTGGTTAACCAGACAAGAATTAGCAAGGTGAAAACAAAAACGGGGAAAAAAACAAACGCCTGGTCAGACGTGTGATACATCATCCCAACAACAGAAAGACGACGTTGATACCATCCCCGTCATTCCTTTTTAGTAGATACGCTCGCCTCGTGGCCTATTTTAGCCAATCGCAAAAAAAAAAAATGAAGACCTACTCAGACGTATGGTGCATCATCCTGACAACCGACGGGTAAGGACAAAACAGGGAGGAACCCGACGTTGTCCCTGAGGTCTTGACAATCAAAACCGTAAGAGGGTTCTGTGAAACTTGATACCGGCAGCAGGAAGTCCAAGTGCAGCTAATTACCACCAGTATTGGTTTTGTTGAAATACATAAATGTACCAACCATTGCATCGAAAAAACGCAGAGCATACATTTTTATTGCGGTGGCAGTCCTATTCTTCTGTCTCACCCTCTGTCACCGCCGTCTTTGTTGCCACGGGTAAGGAGGGCCAGCTTCCCGAGGGCTCTGTCTAGCTTCTGGGTCGCCGAAGCCAGGTGCTCCTTTACTCCTGCAAAACAGGGTGCATGATGACAGGCGTCACACGGCAGGCACGCAGAACGTTAACACTCTCAAATGATGCCTAGAATTGACGTGCGACAGAGGGTTGGCTTGTCCTTGAAAAACCCAAAAATAAATAAATTAAATATAAAACCACCCACATCATATTTTTCTCCCGAAAATCTGAAAATATGTTGTTGTCCTTACCTTAAAACACAAAAAGCAGAGGGAAAAGCGACAATATTGGATTGCAATAGGGTGTACACAGAAGGAAGAGAGTGCTGCACTCTTCTCGCGTTAAATTGTATCGACGACAAAGTACCGCAGGAGGGGTGGGTTGGGTAGGAGGGAGAGGAACCCTCCTGTGTGACCACGGGTTGGAGCAAAACGGCACAAACGCCTTGAGCACTGATTTGAAGGGAAGACAAAAAAAAAGAAAGTGCCGGGCCTTGTACTCCAGCAAAACAATCGTGACCGGCGGCATGAGGACGCAAAGGTATCAGGTTTCCCTTCACTACTGGAAGAAATGCTCAGGGGATGCCCAAAACAAAGCGTCTGGCGACGCCAAAACAACCATGGCAACACATCATCATGCGGTTAGGTTACCTCCTCACACTAGAACACCCTCCACAATGTAGTTGTTGGCGTCTTCAGAATAAAAACCGTTCCGATCTCTCGACCCAGCCCTTCATCTGTCCGTTTTGTTTTGTTGTTGGTGTCTTCACATTGACACCGTTCCGGTCTCTCTCCAGTACCTTCATCTGTCCGTACTGGTCTGACACTTGACGTTGTCGATCCCCGTGTTCACAGGCTAACTTACCCTAAAAAGGTATACTAAAATACCAGGCCGCGGCCGGCTCCTCTGCTGCAGCGGGAGGTGCCGCCGGGGCTGGCGCCCGGCCGGCGAAACGCGGGAAGACGGTGTGGGAGGGCCTTTTTATCTCACCGTCACAGATGTCAGGGACAGGGTCCATCCCGGTCGACCCCGTGAGCTCTCCCCTGTCCAGATGGACGAAAACGGCCTCGCTCATTGGCTGGCGCTTCACAGACTCCAGCTGAGACGTACGGACCTTGGTTGAAACGAACGAAACACAAACCCACGGTTTCCCAATACATTTTTCAGTTTTTGAAACAAAAAAATAAAATATATATTTGCACCGGTGTCAAATAAATGTTGTAAGTGTATTGAGCCCTAGCGCAGTAGTAGAGCCTTGGCTAAGACGTCCGAACCACGGGGGGCACACAACATGTACGGGGTGTGCGATATCATCGGTACGTGCGAACCATGCGTTCTCTCGCATCCTTACGGAATTACACGTACGGGATACCGAATAAGAGTGTGTTTAGTGCCACTTATAGGACACTAGTTAAGAGTGTGTTTAGTGTTTGGCAAGACGAGCATGTTTTCTATTTATTGTTACACATTTTCTAAAATTCTTCGGTTTGGGGAGGTCATGTGGTGGGGAAGATTTTATGGCACAAGATAACACACCCCCTGGACGATTTTTCAAAGCTCGATTACGCTATGACGAAGAGGAGGCATAAATGAAACAATATATTTTCGGAAAGCTCACGACAAGACAGCTTCAACGCCACCGTTTACGGTGCTGTGACTCTTTCTGTCGTTGAGAAATCGAGATTTGAAAATCGGTCCAGCTGGTGTGTTATCTTGTGTCGTTTACGGTGCACACGTCTCTCACACCTCGAAGAAGCCGAAGACTTTATCAACCAAGGTCTGGACAAACTTCTACGAAAGTATCCGTTGTGTAGAGCACGGCTGAACAGTCGCGAACTGCATAATGGGTCACTTCTAGAAATTTCTCAGGGCTTGATTAACGAGGTCAGTGGCTTCTACGAATGGTGAGAGACGTTCGAATTCACTACAAAACTCAACCACGCCCTAAAACAAAGCTACGAATCCACCCGTAGTGCAGTGCACTGTTGACGAGTTTCATTCAGCCATGAACTGCAGAATGGATACAGCTTGTAGAAACTTGTCATGTCTTCACAAACTGAGTCAAAGGCTTCTTCAAGTGGCGACAGACGTATGCATTTCCATTTTTGTTCATCCGTGAAGTGCATATTAGATGTCAACCGTAGTAATCTCGGGGCTCCGCTATCGTAGCCAAGGGCTTCTTCAACGGTGAGCGAACGAATTTGTAGCCATGTGGATCATCCGTGAAGTGCATACTGGATACGTACACTTTCGAAGTCACCCAGGAAGTAATCACCAGAGTAAAAGGCTTCTTCAAGTCGAAACAAACGAATGTATTCATAGTCTCCGCCACATGACCACCTCGATATCCGCCAACAATAGATACCATGCGAAGAATCGTGTAAATACGGATCAAACGAAAGATTCGCATATCATGCGTAAGAAAGTAGATGTGCTTAAGGGTTGAATCATGCGTAAGGGTCGTATCATGTCATGTCTTTCGATATCGAGGTGAGCGGAGAGATGTTCGTCAAGAACCATGTGGCATCTTGAGAGGTGTGCAGTGTTCAAGGGTCGTGTAACGCTCCAGTGTCGATGTAACGATCAAGGTGCCGGTGACGCTTCAAGAGTCGGTGATCTCCAAAATGAATATATTTGCAGACCTACATAGTGTTTCCTTATCAATATACAGAAAAACACCCGAAACAAAAACAAAAACATTGGGACACGCCTCTACTTTGGTTTTGAGTTATTCCGTTTTGGGGAACGCAAAATTCTGTGAATGTACCCATTTTGCAGTTCAAGTTTGGATACAAGTACCAAAGCAATGATGTATAGTGTATTCTTGGTGGATATCTTTGATTCTTGGATTTGGGGAGGTTGCATGGGTGGTGCCGATTAATACATACGACTCTCTCCACTTTGAAGAAGCCTTTGGTTCCGTTCATTACTCCCTGGTGACTTCCACGAACGTGTCCATTGTGCAGTTGAAGAAAAACCGTTTGTATTCAACCGTCAACTGCACAACGGATACCTTTGTAGAAGTCACCCAGAAGGAATGGACGGATTCAAGGACTTGGTCAAGCGGTGAGCGACGTATGTATTCATCGTCACCACCTACGCGACCTCACACAAAAAAACAAGAATCAAAGACGTCCAACAGACGTACACTCTATAAGACGACTGCTACATTCGTCTCTAATCGCTCGAAAGAAGCCTTTGACTCCGTCCACTACTCGCTAGTGACTTCTGCGAATTTTATCATTGTGCGGTGAACGGTTGAACACAACAACCGCCGCACTGGTAGTGTGTTGTTGGTGGATGCCATTCATTCTTGGATTTGGGGAGGTTGTTGTTGTTGTTGTTGTTGTTGTTGTTGTCTTCACATTAAAAACCGTTCCGATCTCTCTCTACCCAGTACCTTCGTATGTCCGTACTGATCCAACACTCGACGCGGTCGATTCCCGTGGTCACAGGTTAACTTACCCTAAAAAGGTACACTCAAATAAACTGGCCCCGAGGGGTCCGCAAGTCAATAGAAATCAACGACAGATATTCTGGAATCCTCCACTCCCTCTTCGCGCTATGCGAGGTATCAACTGAGACTAGCAGTCACTATCTATCATGGGCCGGAGAGAAAGAGGTACACCCCCTTGGTTCAATCTTGGTACTTCACAACGCAAGCAGAGACAAGGCCATCTGGCACAGAAAAAGAGAGAAAAAAAAGGTTGCATGGGCGGAGACGATGAATACATACGACTCTCTCCACTTTGAAGAAGCCTTTGGTTCCGTTCATTACTCCCTAGTGACTTCCACGAACGCGTCCATTGTGCAGTTGAAGAAAAACCGTTTGTATTCAACCGTCAACTGCACAACGGATACCTTCGCAGAAGTCACCCAGAAGGAATGGACGGATTCAAGGACTTGGTCAAGCGGTGAGCGACGTATGTATTCATCGTCACCACCCACGCGACCTCACACAAAAAAACAAGAATCAAAGACGTCCAACAGACGTACACCCTATAAGACGACTGCTACATTCGTCTCTAATCGCTCGAAAGAAGCCTTTGACTCCGTTCACTACTCGCTAGTGACTTCTGCGAATTTTATAATTGTGCGGTGAACGGTTGAACACAACAACCGCCGCACTGATAGTGTGTTTTTGGTGATATCTTTGATTCTTGGT